TTTTTTTTTTTTTTTTTAAGTAGGAATCCCACTCTGTCACCCAAGCTGAAGTGCAGTGGCATACTCACTGCTCACCGCAGCCCAGACCTTGTGGGCTCAAGCGATCCTCCTGTCTCAGCTCCTGAATAGCTGGGACTACAGGCACACGACACCACACCTGGTTAATTTTTTAATTTTTTTGTAGAGACAAAAGGCTATGTTGCCTAGGCTGGTCTCGAACACCTGGATTCACATGTTCCCCTTGCCTTGGCCTTCCAGAGTACTGGGATTACAGGTGTGAGCCATCATGCCTGGCCTGCCTAGGACATTACTGGGTACCCCTGTGGACTCCATAAACACCACCTGCGAAGGCCACGCTAAAAACATTTTTTTTTGTTTTGTGTTTTTGAGTCAGAGTCTCACTCTGTTGCCCAGGCTGGAGTGCAGCCACACACTCAGGACCACCGCAGCCTGGACCTGCACCGCTCAGGTGGTCCTCCAAGTAGCTGGAACTACAGACACACGCAACCTTGCCCAGATACTTTTTGATTTACTGTAGAGATGAGGTCTCACCAAGTTGCCCAGGCCGGTCGTGAACCCCTGAGCTCAGGCAATCCTCTCACCTCGGCCTCCCAAAGTTCTGAGATCACAGGCTAAAACCTGTTTCTTAAAACATAAAGTAACTGTGCTATATAAAGCAGCTATAACAGCGCTAGATGACAGGAGTCCTCTGGCTCTACTATGATCTTAGGGGACCCTCACACTAGCGACTGCACTCCCATTCGCTGACTGGTCCTCAGCTCCCTGAAGGCAAAGACGGGCTTCTCCTTTCGAATCCTGCAGTGCTAGGAAGGAATTACTTTACTCCGCCACGTCTTGTGCTCAGGATGGAAGCTGACCTGGGTTCTTCACAAAGCTCGGGGGTGGCTTGGGCAGGGGCCCCAACAACTCCCGGCCGACAGGCAATTCACCAGAAGGGCCCTCCTCCAGAGCTCACCTTCCAGGTCCCCATCCTTCCCGAAGCTTCACCGCCGAGGGAAGCGCAGCAAGCCGAGCTTTCCGCCCCCAACTGCGAAGGCAGCTCTGCAAAAAGAAGCCTCACCCACCTGCAGCTGGGCTGGCCGCAGCCTCCCGGCCATCTCTCCCGCCGCCGCCGCTGGGAGAAGGCACC